CCAATTTGATATCGCACATCGAATTTCTCTACGTAACGTTAATAATACGTTTGATTATAATCTGTTATATAATAAAAAAAGTATTGCGAATTCTCTGCAGTAGTAGATAAGCCGCTTGAAATAAAATTGTTTTTCTCATGTAACTAAATTTTTTTATGTATGGTTTTTTTTTGTATGGTTTTTTTTATGACGACGCCCACTATTATTGAAATATAGATTATGTACGTAAATCCTTTAGTTTGTAAAGCGATCTGCAGGTTCGATGGAAAGTGAATGCTTGGATTTAATTGAAAATGGGATTAAAAATTTTCATTTCTTAAGCTGGCTACTTTTTTTACTCTTTGTCATGTCTATGATATTAAATGAGAAATCCAGATAGAAATTGAAAATTGATTTAAAAATACAATTTGTTGAATTGAAAAATTTTAACTCTATTTATTTGTTACTATAGATCAACGTTTTTCAATCTTTTTTAATTTACTAATATATATTAAATAATGAGCTCCAAATTTATTGAGGCACATTATTAATCTCTCTCCAATCTTTTTCTTTCATACACACACATACACACACTCAAAAAAAAATATATATATTCATATATATAATGGAGAGAACGATTTTACTAAAGTATTCAAAGATTTAACTTATACATACAGATCCGAAAATAATTTTGTTAAACAATCAAAATTTTTAGGACGCTTAAATTGATTGCTAAAAAATATTAAAATTTTTTTACTTTGTTACTTATTTCTAAAATTTTCACAGAATACTTAAAGACTATTTGCGGCATACTGATTAAAAAACCTTGTTATAAATTAAAAACTTGTAAGATAATATGATCTATTAATATAAGACATGTAAGCGTTACTGTGCAAACATTACTAATAACATATGTTGTTTAATTATGCTATTATGCACTCAAACATTATTCGACATCAACAGAAATTCAAACTTTCGAAAAAATATGAATTTTTTTCGGACTCCATATCCAATGAACAAAATTTGTAATAACGAATTAACGGGATTTCCTTGTAATAACGAAAAGTTATTGCCATGATATGCTTGGCGTAGAAAATAGGAGCTATAGCGCATATGGCGGCGCTTGTACTTTCATTTGAGTCAAGTCAAATCGAGGTTGGTCGGAAACCATTCGGGAAACTGAGAAAACAAGATGAGCAACCATCAAAATCCAGCAAGGTGAAGTATTCCATTCTACGGCTTTCGAATGTCTGATGACGAATACGCTGAAAGTGATGTGGTACGGCAGATGCGGGAAACGATTTCGGTCATTGTATAGGTTTGTGCCTAAACGTACGAGAAACTAAGCTGTAGGATCTAAGAGGAAGTGGGATATTCTACTTCACGGGATATTGGACAGATGAGGGGTCGTTGGGCGAGAATGATGGGTGAGTGTCCGTTGGGAACTCGACGTGCACCATCTTGGGTGCACAGTTGTGGCGGATTCTCGCATATGGTGGATGGACAAGTTGGAACCCCGGCTTGAATTACCTATCGCGCATACAGAATAGTTGGCAGCTGACTTGAAGATGACAGTTTGCGAGTGAATTGCGAGGACGAACATTCTGCATATGGAAACTTTGCTCTCGATAAATTTGGATCACTATTATCACCGACAAGCAATGTTGGAGTATACATAATTAACAATATAATTAAGAAAACAATTGTTATGTTATGTTACCTCGTAGAAATAACGATGATAAAATGAATTACGTTAGAAAATATATTAAAATCCTTTCAAATTACTTGATTACTTTCTTTTTTGATTGAAATCATTAATAATAAGTTTCAATAGATCTACATGAATAAATCCAATAAGTAAAGCTATATAGTTGATGCTGGATCTTGGTGCCCAATAATAGTCTTATGTAAATTTTAAATACATTTTTAGTTGCATAAATTGCGCGTCTATTGTCGTACTTGGAATGCGATCGCAAACTGAAGCTGAAATATTAATATAAGTGCCTTTTCATGTTGACGTCAAAATGGATTACCTACTTGATCAAAATTAACGAATATCAATTTTAATCATGTGACTTGTTTTGACACTAAAATGAACGTCAAGCATCAGCATAAAATTGTATATCACAAATTAAATTGATCGTTAATTTAATAATGATACTAAACATTTTAAAACACTACAAAGGAATTACTGCGAAAAAATATCTTAAATTGACAATCAACTTAATTTGTGATAATATTTTAGCTTCAATTTACGACTGTGTTACAAGTCCGATCATAATCGCGTTATAACTTGTATAATTAAAAAATATATTTAAAATTTACATAAAAATATTATCAAGCATTAGGATCTTCTCTCTCTTGATTATATTTAGTACATTTTATTAATTTAGTTTGAATTATTATTGGATTATGCATTACATGTAATATCAATGACATTTCTTGTACTTATTCTTATTTATCATGAAATCTTAGCGTAAAATGCAGGACGAATAAATGCCAGCAAAAATTAATGTGCGATTAATAATTTGTTGCTGCAGATCTTATGTTATTTCGCACAACGCGCGGATTTACTTTTATGCAACTCCGCGCTGGTGATTAGATTTGCAGAGATACTGCTGCGAAAATCTGCACGTTAATCACGTTAACAGACACGGTACGGTATTAAAATACATCTGGGGCAACAAAAAGTCTCCGGCAGTCGAAAGATTCTACAAAATGGAGGAGATGGAAGATATCTCATTTTGTGAAATAAATGAGCTTAAGATTTTAAAAAAGAAAGCAATAGAAATTACGATATTTCACACAGATGTTCTGCAATAAGCATAAATTAATTAAATAAGAATTTAGATGAACGAAAATTAGAGAATAAATTTTACTATTATATATATAGTAAAAGAGAACGTTGAAAAATCGTGCTTAGAAATTAAAACCAGATATTAATAATAGTTTTATACACAGAAAACCAACGTATTATAAATTTGTAGTATTTTTCTCGTTTCAAATTACATTTGTAATTTTAATTTCATATATAAGTGATGCATGATGTAATAGAAATCTAAGTTTATTTTAACGTCTGGAAGAAATGTTATACAGTTAAATTCCACAGAAGAAAAATATAATGTCTTACACAGTCCATTCTTTCTAATTTTATGTGACCCAATTAAAAAATCATGCATAAAATTAACTCCGTCGCAACACATTTTTATGCTAATTATTTTACGGACATGGTAACACTCCGACTTCGTTATAATTAAACTTTAAAGAGGGTAAGATACTCAGTTTAACGTGGAGTTAAAAATTATAATCGGTCGTCGTCTTAAAGACATTTGCTGGGAAATAATGAAAGAAGTAATCAGAAATAGAGTGTCAGGACGGAGAAAATGGGTCCCTATAGACTATCCCACTTCGTGGCCTGTTGGATAAATGAAGCAAGCGCTTTGAGAGTGCTGCGATAGCTAGCGATGCTATTGCAAGGCGTAATACAACGCATACTTGCATAGTTGACTATCCAAGTAAAATATTCACTATGCGCAATTGCATTGTATTTGTGACGCGTATCTGAAAATGCCATAAATGAAATGGGACCTTGCTCATCGCGATTTTCTATGAGGCGAGTGATTTTCATTCATGATAACGTTACGAGAGACACTGATTTTCTCAGAAGATTCAGTTTCGGATTAACCTTAGAATGTTATCGCTATTAAGTGATATAGTATTGCTACCGTACGTAAATTTCACGTACAAGTGAACGAGGTCATTGAGTGCTTTCAATCATTCAGAGTTTCAATCTGTCATGTTAAAAACAAGGACAAGTAGTCAGCTTTTAAAAATTCTGTCCGTTATATGTAGGTACTTATATGATTTTAAACTCTTTAGAGGTCAATATTACAACAGACAGCGTGAAATAATTTCGCTTTTTAAACAATTTTACATTGAGCTTTTATGTTATCATATATTCTATTTATGTATTATAAGGAGCCATATACACATAAAATTTGATTATGTACTTCATCATTTCATGATTGAATTTGATAATGTGTTTATGCTCTCTTTCCTTTTAAGTTAATAATTAGGTTATTTGGTTATTTAGGTTTAATCCTCTGTGAACCAGATAGAGTGACCAGGGGTGGGCAAAATTGTATTTAAATACAAAATACTCCCAAAAAAGTATTCAAATACGAAATAAAATAAAAATGTATTTAAATACGTATTTTAAATACATATTGTATTTCAAATTCTGCCCATTCCTGGCTGAGACACAACGTTAGAGGTGCATTCCGTTTCATGCATAATGTGCATGATGCATCATTTATCCTTGTTGTTCAAAATGTAAACAAGGATGAATGATACATTATGCACATCATGTGAAATGGAACGCACTTTAGATTGAGTCAACAATGGTGCGATTTTAACTTTCATAAAAAAAATATTTACATAATTTAAATGTATTTAGTATTCACAAATTTAAAATACTAAAAAAAATATTTAAATGCAAAATACTCTCAAAAAAGTATTTAAATACGAAATACAAAATATAAAAATGTATTTAAATATATATTTTAAATATATGTATTTCAAATACTGCCCACCTCTGGGTGTGACCCCAAGATGAATTTCTATATTTCTTCTTAAAAAGTACCGCGCGCATGTTGCCAGTTTCGTGCAACTGGAGAATGTATTGTTACCAATCATACTGAATTATAGTATATGAATGATAGTATATTATGATGAAGTATAGCATGAGATATACCCCACATATGATTCATATTGATTTTCCACTTGGTTCGCGGAGAGTTATAAGAGTCTAGATTATAAATACTTTGTCATTAAAAAAAGTGAAATGTATAAAACACTTTGTTATATATTAGTTAAGCCTATATTTTATTCTTAAGTTAAGTACAAACACGAGAAGAAATCTTCGTAATAAAATTGCAGTTCGAATTTAGTTCTGCAAGTTAATTATCTATATGCAAGTTTCTATAATATTAAATGTAAGCTTGGCAAGTCGCGACGTGCAGTCACGACTTAATTTTACGACCAAGTAAAAAGTGAAGCTGTCCAGGATTATTTTCAGGTGGTGGTAGTCCATCTGATAGACCAAACCAAGCGGTGTTGGAGAATAAAATTTTTCCAGCTGGAAAAGCCACTGTGAATAAAATCTGGATTTCTCGCTAGAATAAATGTTTTGTTTAAGATTGGATCTTGTGTGCTTTAGAAAGAATAACTACAAACGAAAGTCCAATGGCAAATATTTGTTCGAAGTATTACGACAGTTTGTGTAACGGATAACAACGGACATGTGGATAATGGGTCCTCGCAGAATAGATGTTAGATATTTTCAGCTTTTTCATTCGATCTTTCCATCTTTTTACCTTACGCTTTATATTTAAAGAATGTAGTTATCGATAAAGATTACGGTTTATACAAATTCTGCGCGCAGTTATAGAATTGAAAAATGTATTCGTACAATGAAAAAAATATGATTTTGCTGTAGCATTTAAAAATTTAATTACAGATTTGAATATAATTTTGTTGGATCATCAAAATAATTATGTAAAATGCTTGAGCATAATGAGCAGTATTGTAAATATTTTAACACTCTAATAACTATTTTGGAGGTTTTACATAATTATTTTGATGGTTCAACAAAATTATTTTCCTTGAACTATATCTTTAGATACTTTATCAAAACTGTTCTTTCTATGTAAATCTGCATAGGTAAGTATTATAATATTAAGCACCAAGATCCGCTTCGACCGAAAATATAATTCTTTTTATTTAATTTACTTTTATCAGTCTAATTTTCACTTATAACTATTTATATAAGTCTCCATGAAAAAATGTTCTCTTATTTATAATTACTGATTATTGTGGCAAGCATCTTCACATATGTTTTGGGAATTCGAGGTTCAAACTCTAATAGAAATGATAATATTTACAATAAGTTCTATGCAGTGTTTTAAGATGCTTATCAATGTCATTAAATTGACGATCAATATAATTTATTATTTATTTTTTGCTTCAGTTTATGATTTCATTTCAAGTTCGACAAAATATATTTGTAAATCTACATTTAAATATTATCAAGTATTAAAATTTTCGACCGAAAATAGGATTTTTTTTTTAAGTTGACATTTATATAAATTTTATCTCTTAGATTCTTTGTCCACGTTAAAGCGCCTGCAACGAATATATATTTGCATCTTCGGACCGTCTTGCACGTAAACGCATTGTCATTTGTCAAAATTACGGAAATGTCGCGACGCAGTATAAATTATGAAAGACTATTGCTACTACGCGCTGTAGAAGCTCACCTGTTATGCTAGAACATATGAATGATGTTAAACGCTTCCTTCGAAAGGAAGCGTTACCGGTTGCATTAAACTCGCTTCGGTTCGAAGGCGTAATGGCTTCGCTCGCAGCATCCGCTGTTTCAATCCTATCCCTTTGTCTCGGGCAAAACGCATAATCTCCCGGTAAGCGTGTTACATTCTATATTCACGTAATGGCGGGAAATAACGTTGTCGGTGAAATAGCTCTTAACGATTCTGAATGATACCACGAGGCGACGAATAGAATATTCCGCAGCAGTGGCGGCGACAGGATAGTATAATATCTTCGTGCAAACTATCGAGAAACGACAGCTACAAATCGTGATCGACCGTTTCGCAAATACGACCGATCTACGACCGTGACGGGAAACAAACGCGAAAGGGAAGAGGAAAAGGGGAAAGAGGAGGTCCGGATCGACCGCGTTCGGCTCGTAAATGTCGGGGATGTCGAGAGACTGTGCGCGGCTTTTTACGAGTTCCCAAGTGCGGAACTTGCATTTCTTTTTGACGCGAAAAGGGAATGGGATAAGGCAAAGCCCTATTCGCCGCAGGTTTTATTCAAATTCTCTTCGCCCCTAAGCACCAGCTGCGCCCCGTCCCTTCCTGCGCTCCTCGGCGCGGTTGATTCAGGGAGGAAAAAAGTTGCGCGAAGATCTGCAGAATCGCGTGACCACACGATTCTGTTTTGTCACGACGGACGGAGTCGTCTCTCTCGAGTGTTTGAAGCTTTTCTTGGAGAACGACATTACGGTTACCGAACTCTTGTAATAGAAAGATCACCGAGGAGATCTCTATGGAAATACATGGTTAGAAATAAGAAAAAGAATAATGGAGAGATTTATGTTTTTTTAAACGTCTCATTTTCAGATCCTCAAATACAAGATAACTGAAAAATTTGATTACAAAGTTTTGTGTGTTTATCAAATTATTATCGAGGTAAAAAGCTGCTGTTATTTATCGTCTTTAATATCATTTTTAATATCTTATAATACTTTATAAGATATTACTCTATAATACTTATAAGATATTACTCTAAGAGATCACTCTATTGGCTGCCTGGAAGAATTTATTTGTGGAAAGCTGCAAGGCAGATCGTTAATGGATTCCCGAAGCGCTTTAAATATTATATCGAACTAAAGATAGTATTAATTATTATTTTTTGATATTTAATAAGGTATTTAATTAATACTAATTCAGAATTTGTTTTTAGTAAAAAATATATATTCCCAATAATTATTAAACATGTACTCTGTAATTCTTTTTTTCACCCTGTTGTACATTAACAATATATTTATTTCGTTTAGTTAATCGAGTAATTTTATGCTCGCGAACAAGTAGCATGATAATTTATGATTAAATATGGAAAAGTACAATGCTAGTTTCCATTTGCTTTCCATTATTTGCTTATGATAAATTAAGTAGAAAAAGAGATTACAAGAAAAAAGGTATTCGCGTTTACCTCTCATCTCAAATAATGTTCTAACATGAAAAGATTCATGCTTCTCGTGAAACTTTTTAACATAGAACTTAATTAAAATTATAATGAAAGTTACCATTATGAGAAAGATACTTTATCTGTCCTTGTATTAATAAACGAAGAAACATGTGCTTTTATCGCATCGTTTAATCATTTTTATTATTACAGACGTTTAATTAAGAGGTTAGTAATAACTCGCTCGTTTAGTAATACGTGGCTATATATGCTGAAGACTTACCACTTTTGGAGATTAAACTTGTATTCGCGGATTAATGAAAAGATGAGCGCTAAAAGTCGAGAACTTTACCCTCTTCTTCACTTACAACTTATTGAATAGAAATCTGGTCACACGTATATTGTCAGACCGCCGTTATTAAATTGAACGACTAGCGCGAATGATATATCCTGGCTTCTTTATGTAGCCGAATAAAGAATGTCGCGTGGGCCAAAACTTTTCTTAACAGACCAACTCTTTCCTAAAATCTCCGACTGTTTCAGTTCTTAACTTTGTGAGAGTTTTTTTAAATCTATATACCTATTTTGCTAATAAAAAAATGGGAATTTAGAATGTCAACTACGTGAATCCAAATATCGCGCCATTAAAAATATTTTTAAGTTGAAAGAATCATTAATGAGAAATAAAAATTAGATGCATATTTATGTCACTGATTTATGCTTCAATAAAATGAGCTGCAGTGTATGTGCTAAGAACATGTTTTTGATTTTTTTTTTTTGTGAAAATCCCTCTTTTCAACACTTCATTTTTCATACATTTGCACGTACCGATGGGACGACACTAAGTGTCTTTTAAACATAATGAAATGATGATAATTTGTCGCGGTATGAAAATCGAGTTTCTCGAGAAGGTAATTTCTTCTTAATGTCTTGTTTGTGACTAATGTTCTTGCGTTTGCGTGTAGGCTAATTCCACCCGTAGTTAGATGCATCATTTATTTCTAAGAGAACTTACGTGGTTCTTCAAGTCGAGTTGCTGTTACCAATATTACTAAAAATATACCTATAAAATAGACAACTTTATATTTAATCCTAATACATAATAAAGAACATTTCAAAAATTTAGCAAGCTTTTTAAAATAAATTCTTTTTTGTTTCTCAAAAGATTTTGTTAATATTAATTTTTTTATAATTAATTCTTGAATTATATAAATCTTAAAAAATATTCTTTATGTTTTCAAAATTAGAAATAAGATTTACTATATATTTGTTTTCTTCGCGAGATTAATTTTCAAGAAAGAAAAGACTTTACTAATTATATGCAAAAACTGATTTCAGTTAAACTGACTGATAAATCATGATATTCTTTAGTTTATGAGATATGCTGATTAAAAGTTTCCATAGACACAACCATAAAAAAATGTCAATTTAATGTAGAGAAACAAATAAATAAAAGAAACTTGGAGATAAACTTGGACTCTTATCATTAATTAATTCCATAGCTCGTCACATAAATAAATAAATGAATACGAATATGTAATTGCATATTTCTTGGAAGAAAATTAACATTAGATTTTTTAAACACGATCACGTCTTCGATTAATCACTTCAGGATATTACGATTTTCAGATGGTATTGTAATTATCATGAATGAAGTGACCATGTCGCTGCAGTTCTCTAGTTTTCGGTGGCTGATTATAAAGTTTGTGTTAGTACCGTAATTGCGGTGTCGTAACAAGTCTGACGAAGTACATGGGAAGCAAAACAAATACCTGCACATACGGAAGTTACAATGCCTGTAACTAATTACGGACAGGAAATTAATCCTTTAAAAGCTTCTGCTCCTTTTAGAGCTTGTTATGTCTTTGCGTAATCTTCTTACGGAAGTAAATTAGTTTCAATAATAGTAACATACGTATATAGGTTATAGAGAAATCATTATTCGTACTCGGTTATGTTTTGCGTAAAAATCTATTAGATAAGTTATACTATTACGAATATTATTATATATAGTCACTGTAATTACATATGCCAATAAAAGCAACATAGATATTAGTTACTTAATATATGCGCAAGTTATAAATTATTATAATTAGTTAGTTAATAACATAATTAACTACAATGAGACAGTTAAATATTGTGATTATCCAAATAATTATTGTAGTTAACCAATATTTCATGTATTACGGCTATAGTTATTATTAATATGAGATGATATATATAATGAGATGATTATTAATTGAGCTTTAAATTTGTGTACAAAATATACTTTCATTTTTCAATTAAATATTTTGAAATTATTTTATTGCGCACTTGTCTTTTACGCGCATTTATTAGAATTAAGTTCTATTTAAATAATAATTTGTATCGAACATTATTGAT